TAAAAAATTAATTATAGGTAATATTATTAAAAAAAAAACAATGAAATAAATATATAATATATGTTATATATCTATCTTAATGTTTTATAAAATCAATAAAAACTCTATTAAATACATATAAAATATATTATGGTAACATATAATATAATTATTTTGAAACTTACTATTTACATTTTTATAAATTTCATCACATAATATCAACAAAATATAATATAAATTAATATTAAAGTAATATTTCATAAAGAGATATAAATCTATCTATTTTGTCATACAATTATACATATATTTCAATAATTTGGTTGATTAATAAATATAAAATATCAAATGCTTTAAATTTTTTTATTGCAGCTAAAAAATTTAGGTGCAATTTTTTAAAAAAATTTCTTTTAAAAATGAAAATTTAATACTATAAATGAAATGCAATATTAGCAAAACAAACTTATATAAATAATATATCTTTTGTATATTAGATAAAATATTTAATTCATTACGCACATTGTATAGGAAATTCCAATTGTTCTTTTTCTCTTTTTTCTTTCATAAATGTCATAAGAATGTTAAGTTGATTAATTGTATCTTCAGGACATGTCACACTATGTCCAACAGTTAAATCGCTTTCATAAATTTCATAATCATTACCACCTTCTGTTGTTTTATCACCAAAGAAATGTATTTCATCATATCCTCGAATGTGTCTAAGACAATATGTTTTATCCCAACCAATAGGAAAAACATCAAAAGATATTTGACCTCCTATAGATATAAAAAAAAATATGTTTAATAAAAATTTTAACAAAACAAATAATTTTAATAATTTTTTAGATTAATATACTATAATTAGAAATACTGATATTAAATATGATAAATATAATTTTTTGAAATAAATGTAAATCAAAAGAAAAATAAATGTAATTATATCTATACTGAATGTTTATGCAAAATATAATAATTTTTTATATAAATATAAAAAATCTTATTTACCTATACTATATGTTAAAGCAAGATTTGGAAATTCTTTTTTAATAGCTTGAATAAATTTCTGTCGAATTTGATGTTCAAGATCATATTCATAGAATTGAATACGCTCTTTTTTAGTACAATTACGACCAACAGGTGATATATTAATCATACCTGTTCTAAATTCTATAAAAGTTCCACGTTTGAATGGCAAATGTAATTCTGATATATATTTTAAACAAAAATTGATTAAATCTTGCAATGCCTCTTCACCAATAATACTTTGAATTGTCTAAAATAAAAAGTCAAATTTTAAATAAATAACATAAAAGTACATAAAAAACTTTATAAAATATATTTTCTAATTATATTACTTACTTCAGTAGGCAACTGTTTATCATCTTTAAATGCAATAAGTCCATTCTCTGCAAAAACATATTTATATTTTTCAAATATACTTTTACCACCTAATTGTTCTTTAATCTTATTTAAATCTGATCCACCGACTACAGCTAAATCAAATTCCTTTCTAACAGTTTCCAAAAGAAATTTCTCCACAGATGGTTTAATTGCCTAATGAGAAATTAAATAAGAGTTTATTTATAATTATACAATATATTTTTTATTTTCATTATACATATACCTGTCTAGGATCTGTAAGTGTGCCATCAACATCAAATAAACATATTATCTTCTTCATCATAGTAAAATGATATTTACTTAATCTGAAATATAAATTTCGAAATTAAATTTTTAATAAAAAAAGAATATTAAAAAAAATCCATAAAAAAATAAAAATTATTAAAAAATTTTTTAAACTAAATATTAAAAATTATCAATATGAAAAGATTATTATTTTTATCTTTAAAAAATTATCGTATAAAACAAATACATTGCTTAAGTCACATATAAAACTTTATTATACTTATTATTATAGTCATCTTTTTCATTATTATATTATATTAACAATTCCTTTTTTATGACAGATATATTTATATAATATTTTATATAATAATTTTTTTTAACAGATCGAAACATATTCAAACTTTATATTAATAATAATATTCAAATTTTGATTTTAAAAATTTGATTTGAAATTATAATTTATATATTTTTAAGTCGACAAAAAAAAAATAAAAAAATAGAATATAATACATTTTTAATAAAAAAAAATATACAAACATTATCGAACATTAACATATGTCAATAATAGAATAACAAATATAACCTACTACATACAATAATTTATTAACATATATATAAAAATGAAATTAATATTTTATTGTACAATATTTTAATTATAATTAAATTGACACTTAATTTCTAGTTTTATCGACCACAAAATAAATT